GCTGTTTTAAGTCGAGGATCCTGCCATCCGCGCAGAAAACTGGGCGGGAGGTAACTTATTTCGGGTTGCCTGACGGTGCAGTCAACTTCGTTTTTCCCGCATGACCGTAGCTCCGAGGTGGGAGCGATTTTACTGCGTCGCAGCAATCGACAACCCCGATTCCGCGTAAATTGGAACCGCACGCAAGGCGAGAAATTATATTTACCGAAACCTTCAGTCGGCAGTTATAAATCTTGCGCGATCATTTCGACGAGTAGCAGAGTAAGGACTGTTTCGCTTCTTTTTTCGTATCCTATATCATCTTATTCGTATTTATCTCTTGATTAGGCGAAATTGAGGGAAATTTATGTGCCGAAGGGAAAGGCAGCTTCTGGGAAAATTGATAACGAACGACTCATCCCCTTCTTACAGACTGTCAATATGCTTAATGTATTGTTTTAGAGTACCTATGTACGAACTTTTCCTAATTTGTGGAAGCTTCCCCTGGTTGACGTATCGGCATTGTTGGTCTTGTTCTTCTTGCCGCTCGGGCAATGAATTATTTTTCAAAGCCGTTTGATAGTCATATTACGTATCGACAACTAATTTCACTTGTTCTGAAGGAAACAAAGTATTGAGCTTTTAGCCTATTTATTGGGCGAAACTATACACATTCAGGCCATGCTTGACACTAAAACAGTGTGAAAGAGAATTACATGTTTATTTAACTATCACCTTCGCATGGTGACAAAAGCAGACGTCGTGTCTCACATCTTTACAGACGTACTGTATCATAAAAACTCAAAAAACCTATGATATACAGGTCTCACAGTAGGTACAAATTTTTCATACTGTAATGATGCGGCAGCTCCGAAGATATCCTGTTAAGGAGAAGGGGGAAGGCCCTCGAGGAAGGAGGCGATAGCGATCCCTCTCTGCGTGTCATCTCTGCGTTTCTTATATTCCTGAAGGGATATCCTTTTTGGCCGGCTTTGGACTTTGCGTTGCGGCTGACTTTGGGGTTGGGCGTATTGGTCGAAGGCGGACCAATCGACGTCCTCGTCCCCGCGCATTTTTTGCAATACAGGGTCGCTCCAGGTTTCGTCCATGTTTTCCACTGCTACTAGTTGACGTGCTAGAAATAGATTACTTTGATGTTCTGAGCTCGTGGCTCTTGTGCTGCTCAAAGTTGACTGGGTTCGCTTCCGCGTCGTCCGCGGTCGACGTGACGCCTTAACCGGTCCTGTGCCCATCCTAATAGATAAAAAACTTGATTTTTATCTAACTAATCTTATCACTATCGACAATTGATGAATAAACAGGAAAAAGGAACTGCTAATTAGAATCAGTTGAGATGTTGTCAGACTTTTTAAGAAGAAATCCGATACGATTAGAGGCAAGAGGAGAAGAAAAAGAAAAAAGAAAAACGGACCAAAGATGAAAAATTTAAAAAAAAATGGAGATGCTGCTAAACTCATCGCGGTGTGAACTTTTTAAGTCGATCCGCTTGGATAACTAAATATCTGTTTTTACCTCTCTTTTTGGTGTCTAATTTATAGCTGCTGCGCGATATTTTTTCAACAACTTCATACGGACCATCATATTTAATACGCAGTTTTTCCGATAATTCCTTTGTCCGTGCTGGCATGTAAACTAGAACTAGGTCTCCGACTCCAAATGGTGGCTCCAATCTGTTTTTGTTTGATTGATCACGTTGATTTTGTAGGATGTCTGGGAGTTTTTTGAGAGTTTCATCTCGTATTTCATCCAGCTTTCTTAGGCGCTTTAATAATTCAGTATTTTCGCAGTGCGGGCGTATTTTTGCGTCGATGGGTAACTGGAATTCTTGGCCCGTGAGAAGGAAAAAAGGGCTCTGACCAGTTGTTTTGTGTGTGCTCGAGTTGTGCGCAGCGGCGATGGCAGGTAAATATTCTGGCCAACTTTGCTGATTTTCCTGTGTGAAACTTCTCAAGTAATTTCCAACACTTTTCCAAGTGTTTTCTATTAACCCGTTGGCTCTTGGAGAATAGGGTAGTGTAAATGATTTTTTGACTCCATATTGGTCAAGGAATTCATTATTTAGGTCCGATGCAAAATTTTTACCATTATCCATCACTAGCTCTACTGGTATGCCAAAAAGTCCAAAATATTCGGTCAAAACTGCTTCCAGCGATTTTGCTGTTATGTTTTTGACACTTTTCAGCCATAGAAATTTGGAAAAATAGTCACAGATGCCGATTATATATCTTTTCTCGTTGCCTTCTGCGTCAAATCCCTTCGTGACCGGACCCCATGCATCGATGCCAAGTTTTGTCATCACACTATTTGGAATCTTGTGTGATTTAATTTTCCCATATTTTTCGTGGTTCTGAAGTTTTTTCGCGAACTGGCATTTTTTGCAAGATAGTACATACTTTCTAATATCGGCATGCATTCCTTTCCAATAGAATCTTTTCCTGACGCGTTCAATTGTCTTAAATATGCCGGAGTGGCCTGAGAAAGGATCGTCGTGAATACTTTGGAGCACTTCTTTTTTCATGTGTGATGGAATCACAGCCACTTTACTATTGATGTAGCATTTTTTCCACAGAATGCCTTCTTCGATGTAAAATGCTTCCGCTTCTTTTTTTGTTTTTGCATCTGTATTTTTGGGCTTTTTGATAGCTTCATACAGGGTGTTTAGTTTATAATCCTTTTTCTGTTCTGCTTTTAGTCGTTTTGGTTCCATTTTTCCAGTCTCTTCTTGAGCTTTTGACCGTGTTACAGCATGTACTTGAGTAATGGTTTCGGTATTGGGAGGGTAGCGAGACAGATAGTCTGGCATTACGTTTTTCGAGCCTTTCTTCCATTTAATGGTGTAATTGTATTCTGACAGTTTGAGAATTAGTTTTAGCATGCGTGCCGATGGCGGTTGGGTCCATGGTTGGCACCATTGCGGTTGATTTTGTTGGTTCCACTGAAAATGGTTCCATGGGGCTTGACTTGATTGGTTCCATTGCGGTTGATTGGATTGGTTCCATTGTGGTTGATTGGATTGGTTACATTGCGGTTGATTAGATTGGTTCCATTGTGGTTGATTGGATCGGTTACATTGCGGTTGATTAGATTGGTTCCATTGCAGTTGACTCGATTGGTTCCATTGCGGTTGACTCGATTGGTTCCCTTGCGGTTGACTCGGTTGGTTCCCTCGCGGTAGACTCAATTGGTTCCCTTGCGGTTTACTGGAAACTTGGTGAAAACTTCCGCAATCGTTGGTCCCTTGAACGCTCTTTCTACGATCAAGATTTTCTTTACGTTCCTCCCGTGTAGAAAATTGACTTGGGTTTTCAAATTGGTTTAATGAGTCGCGTATAATGTCTATATTTTGGCGGGTTTCATTTATCTCCTGCCGAGTTTCGCTCATCATTAAACCTAAAGTTGCCATGCGCTGTTCAAATTCTAAAGGAGTTTCAAAGCTGTCTAATTTTCCTGAGTGTAATGTTTGACATGGCTTCTCGCTATTCCGATCATTCCGTACTTCATATCTCGATTCTCGGCGTTGAACCGATGATCCCTCAGATGGTATGGGAATTTTCCCTTCTTTAATTCCAATAAGGGCTCTTGCCGCATCTTTTGTCGAGCTATACACATACGGGAGTCCTAGCTTCTTAAATTCTACCTCTAGTTCGGACTTGGTAAGTTTGCTTATGTGCTTTTCTTTAGAAGCAGCAGGCACAATTTCTGCATTAATTTCGTTAAATTCGTCTTCCCAGAAGTCTTCTAATTGGGGTGAATTTGCTTCAATTATCTCGATTGAGACCTTTTCACCTGAGGGTACATCTAAACCTAATTGTTCCTGCACAAAATCTATAATTTTCGTCGTACTTACTTCGTGGATCTTTGGGATCATATCATGCATGTCTTTCGCTAAAAATGCGAAAGCCGGAAATTCTTGCTTTAACAACGGAAAAAAATGTGTTGCATCAATTTCAACACGGCTTCCTTTAGAAAAGGAAAAGCATACATTCTTTTTTTCCATATTTCTAAATAAGTGACGGCAACCTAGTAAAGAGGAATTTATTCCCACGAAATATCAGTGATTGCAAATCTATCGTGGCGACGAAATATAAATCTCTCCCACGAGATATTGGTCACCGAAATCTATCGCGGCGATAAACTGGAAAGATGGATTTTTCCTTGTTGCGTAATCCTCGATCGATGGGATAGAACTTCGCACCGACTATCAAGGCACTACACGTGCCGGCTCAACAGTGCCGATCTAACAACGTGTCACTAGCGAAAACCTTAACTATGATCATCGTTGTATGACATTGATTCCCAACTTTAAAAGATGCTCAAAATTCTCATTCAGGTACCGTGACGACCTAAGCCTCCACCATGTAATGATGCGGCAGCTCCGAAGATATCCTGTTAAGGAGAAGGGGGAAGGCCCTCGAGGAAGGAGGCGATAGCGAGGGATATATCCCTCGGATCAAACCTCCAACGCGAGAGCAAAGGGGGAGGACCTCGGAAAAGGTGGCGATAGCGAGGGATATATCCCTCGGATCAAACCTCCTTGCGAGATCCAGGTAGAAGAAGAAAAAGGGATAAAACGAGGGGGCAAAGAAAGTGAATACTCGTTTTGAACTAGACGTGATATTTCTCGCATAAGATCAGCACGTTGTACAATTATTGACCAACAGCATCTGACGGTAAGAAAAAATCATTGAATAGGTATTGACGACTCTACTTGGGTTTGAGCGTGGCACCAAGGTCCACGCACCAAGTGGCATCCGCAACAATACTGATCTCCGGGACTCCTCGCGCTCTGCTCTGAAGCTCTCTCGCGCTTTCCTCTCCTCTGCGCGTGCGCACTCCCTGGCCGCTCTGATTCGACGCTGCAATCGTCATCCAGCGAACTTGACCGGTCATTTCCGATCATGACCGATCCTGACTATGGAAACTTTCGCATCTCCTCACAATACTCTCATTTCAATGGAACCGTTTCCAATGATGTTTTTTAGGTTTACCCAAAACTTATCCTAAACTTCATTTTTACAGTGATTTTTGGGTAGCAGTGATTGATTGCAAATGTAAATGAATGATTGTGTTACCTGAGTCTGGGTATCTCGTACTGTCTTTCGAGCTTCACAACGATATTCAGGAGTGGAATTTATGACAGTCTCTGGAAGTGCTGCTGCTGTATTGTGGGCAGGTTCTAAATTTGTATGGATCTCAACATGACATTCCACAGAAATGTCATTAACAGACAGGTCATCAACAAAGGCTGATACATCATTAATCACTTGCAATGGAACCGCAGGCTCCACATTTGTTTCCAGAGGCTCTGTTACTGGATACTGTGAAAAGATAACAAGGAGGATATTCAATTACTTAAAAAAAAATAAGTCACAGTACAACTATACGTTGCCTACCAATTAAGTAAGAAAATGTTTTCACTCGCCAGACTGATTTACATAGTTCAAGGCAGATATCATCTTGCGCTGATGGATCCATTTAGAAAATTAAATCTAATAGTTTGTTCACATATTCTTTAGGAATTTTACTTTGCAAGAATCCGGAGGAGAAATTTTTTAAAAATTATAACATTGAACAAAATAAGGTATAAAATGAGTCAATATTTACTTTCAGAAAGGGGTACATTACCTCCAAAGCTGCCGCTCCTACATCAGACCTTCCAGCATCTGTATTTGATATGTCCTTTAGGACTTCCATTCTCTTCCTCTTCTCTACGGCAGACCTGATTGAAAGTGTGTGAGACCTTTTACGGTCCTTCTGACAGTCAAACAAATGGGGAGTCACATCTTTCCTGAGGACCCAAGGAAATGGTTTCAACCCGCTTTCCATCATCACCTTATTCTGGATCCAATTTTCAACATCCTTTTCTACCTGCAAAGGAAGAAAAAAAAAATTAATATCCGTACGACAATAGCAGATTGCTTTCACTACATAACTTACAAGAAAGCGTGGCTCTTGCGAGTTAAGTTCTGCTGCATTTTACTTAACAAATTCTGCAGCAATGATGATAAGCAGTGCAGCTGCGTAACACTTGATAGTTGATATATTCTTGGTTTATTACATTTATTCATAGTGTCGTCGACCTTAGTATCAAATGGGTAATTCTCACTTCTACAGCATTTCCTGGGTAGAACTTTTGAAAATTGAAATCATCACTGTTGTATGCCAAAAGTTTTTGGACCCCTATTTGTATGTAAATCCAATGGATTGAGGCAATTCTTTGGAGCGCTGTTTGATGATGTCGGAGCACATTTCACAATGAGAGATATTACTAGAGGCACACTGAAAAAAATGAGTTAGCGTCAGATGACTAAAAATGGTTTCTATACACTAACTCAAATTGTGTGATTTGGACACACATGATTTTTGGTTTCTGTACACTAACCACTATTAGTGCTGGAAACTAATTCCGCTACTCTAATTCGCATTCGGTAGGGTTGGGTCAACCTAACCTCAAAACTGAGAGAGGAGAAAACGGCTTAGCGAATGATAACTGGACA